CAAAAAAAATACAAAATAGAGTAATGGTATTATTGCTCAATTTATTTTTATCTAATTTCGTCTAGGTGCAAGGTTCAACGGATTAAATCTTGGGGTATTATCACATTTAGCCCGCACCAAAAACTATTTGCATATGGTAGCCAAAAAAGTATATAAAACTTGTATAATTTTTGTATACAACATACAAAATGTATATATATACAAAAATATATAAATTTATACATTTTCTGCTATTATTTTTACAGTGGCTATACAATATCATTTCTTCTTAAATCTTTTAAAGTATTTTTAACTGTACACTAATAGTGTTTAAATTTTTTAACACTATCACACCACTTAAAAAATAGTTACAAGTAATCCATTATTATATGTAAAATTTATAACATGAAAAATGAAGAAACTAACCTGCTATGGCAAGTAAAATTCCTCTAAATGCTGTAAAAACTTGTTATAATGTCCGTATATATAAGATACTAAATCTTTTGTATATATTATAAGTGTACAAGCGTTTCAAAAAAAAATTCAGGTATATTCCAAAACAAATAACGTGAAGAGTACAATTTTTCACAATTCTTTATTTGACTTCTAAAAGCATAAGAAATGCTTTGGATCCAAAAATCAAACCAGAAAGTTTTGTCAAAACTTCTTAAATTTAATTTGATTTTGGTTGAGCAAAATTCTAATGAATAACATTCTCTTTACGTTATTGCATTTATAGATTCTTGACCTTACCCTTTCATTGATCTTAGAATTCCAACTTCTGGTCCTTGCATAAACTTCAGGCTCTTTTGCTTTTCTAAAAAATTTCATATCTTCTTGATACTTCCATAAAAGAATTCTTTTTCATTATCATTGGACTTTTTGCTGGGGAGATTGTTCTCTAACATACCGAAGACATGATTAATCGTTCAAACACGATTCTATCTACCATTTCTCCTCCACTTGAAATTTAAATCTGAGACCTCATGGTTCTTAGCCATGCACGAAGCCACAATATTCGTTATGCGTTCGAATGAACTCAATAAATTTTGCTTAAACTCTCTATTTGTCTTAGAAAATTCATTAAATATGTATAAATATTTAAGTTTGAATCTAGTAACTAAAACGAATTATAAGTTTGATGGCAGATTCAAAGCCTATAAAACTTCAAATCCTGAATCCGCTCCGTTCTTAATCTACTCCATTAACCATTATGTCAAACACTTGAATACAAAGTCTCAAAGATTATGTATGAGTGCGCAAACAACTAGCAATACTAAGGGATTTGAGTCCTATTTGGACGTGAACATGTTACCAAACATGATGATATACAGAAGATCTTTTATTAGTTTGGAATACTACATTTCCTGGAAACTTCTTACCTTCTTATAAGTCTAATAATTAAACATCCTGTAACTCTCAACATTAACCAAGTAGTCCATTGTGGGACCGTTGAGCAAGTTGACTAAGAATTGTACCTAAAAATATGAAATTAAACCAAAGGTTACCACAGAAGGTTCAGACATTCATGGAATATCAATTAGGTAATCCTAGATTAATATTACAAAAAAAGCTTTTTCATGAGAGAAATAATAAAAAGCTTTTTCATGAGAGGAATAATAAATTCCAGAGGGCAAGTTTAAAGATTCTCCAAACTACTCTTCGTGGATCAGTAAGAGGAATTAAAAAGGGAAGAAAAAAGAAGAGGGAAGAAAAAAGAAGAGGCAGCCAGTGGAGTTCCCCTCATTCAAAGAAATTGAAGCCTACAATGCTTTCTCTATAATGATATTTAGCTTCCTAATATCTCTTAATTATACTTTTCATCGTTGATAGAATATCTTGAGATATACCAGTTAGTCGCAGCCACGGATGGAGCTACAGTTACGGGTTCGGCAATAATGTATTAGTCACAAGAAATCTGTTAAAAATATATAAAGTATTAATATAAAACCCAATTTTGAAAAAACTAAAATTTCTAATCCATAGCCTTCAAATCTTGACTACATTTGACGTTGCAGCCACCATTATATATTTATGTGTTCCTAGCCAGAGTTGGACAGGTATTGGTTTGCAACTCATGACAGTGCGTTACAATTCATGACTGACTAAGTTCAGTTTAATAATTCCACTCGAATAACTAATATCCAACCTCTTTGCTATTGATGCTACTGATACCTCACCTCATCTTCTCGATATATTGGCAAATGCCAAGCCTTGCCAATAGAGCAATATATATTTTTAAGTGTCAAAATTGATGCAAGTCTAAGTGCGTTAAAAATGGATTGAGTTATTCGATACCATTCATTCAATATCATTGGCGTCATTGGCATAGCAAATGTTATTTCTTGTGCATCTTCTTCTGCTATATCTTTCCTATATGTTAAAATTTCAAAATTATAATGTAATAATCCAAGAATTGCAAAACAAAAAGATAAGTACACGATGTATATGTTATCGATCTCCTACTAGAGGTACAAATATGCGAAAATAATTAATGTAACCCCCTTTGTATTGATGTAGGATTTAATTCTTTTAATCTGAATGTCCAATGAGATTCTGCAATTTCCAACTAAGAGAAACGTGAACTCACATTATCAGAGAAAGGGATACATGAAAACGTTTTTGTGAATAAATCTGTTTAACTGATATATATTAAGTGCGAACATCAACATAAGTCACTAGAAGAATCGAAGTAGACAGAGTCACAGCCCTAAAGATAAAGCTTGCTTAACTGATAATTGCACGACAAAGGCCCGGCAAACGTTAGAGCCAACACTCCGAAGGTAAACGCAGGAATACTTCAGCATTAGAGCAGCATGCAACTGGAGCACCAGTTCAAGCAAACCAATACAGACTACTTTCTCCAACTCCAAAGGAACTTAAGATAGCTAAATCATGAAGCATTATTATTCATAAGGACCATAACTAGCATATGAACTGAATCCACGGTTTGTGCAAGGAATCAAGTCACAATGCAATCATTCGACAATCTACAACGTCGGTTAACAAGTTCCACAACGAGACGATCATCCCAATACTAAACCGCCATAACCCGACAACACAAACGAAATGAAATGTGTATTACTGACAAGAATGAATGCTCTAGCCAACAAGACACTAGTACAAAATTATCAGAGTGATTAAGAAACAAAATATAGATCCTAGCTGGACTAATTAGCGCACATACAACAAGATGAAAACACACAGAAGACAAGCGATCAAAAGTTTCCTAAGACTGATTGGTACAGCGAATGGTGCTGACGAATATTAAACAACAAAAGCGGATAGAGCAAAGCAAAATAATAAAAATCCCAAAATACTTGAAAGAAACACTTTACTTCACAACAACAACAAAAAAAAAAAAAAAAAAAAAAAAA